TCCCTGCAGATTTCAGAAATGGAGGTTGGCTTAGCAGTTGGTGGTGCATTTCTCTCTTCAGCTTTGAATGTTCTCTTTGATAGGCTTGCTCCTCACGGTGATCTTCTCAACATGTTTCAGAAGCATAAGCATCATGTTCAGCTCTTAAAGAAGCTGAAAATGACTTTACTTGGTCTTCAAGCTGTTCTAAGTGATGCAGAGAATAAGCAGGCATCAAATCAATTTGTGAGCCAGTGGCTTGATGAGCTTCGAGATGCTGTGAACTCTGCTGAAAACTTAATAGAACAAGTCAATTATGAAGCTTTGAGGCTTAAGGTGGAAGGTCAGCATCAGAATCTTGCAGAAACAAGCAACCAGCAAGTAAGTAACCTTAACCTGTGCTTGAGTGATAATTTTTTTCTTAACATAAAGGAGAAGTTGGAAGACACCATGGAAACATTGGAGGATTTGGAAAAGCAAATTGGCCGCCTTGGCTTAAAGGAGCATTTTGGTTCGACTAAACAAGAAACTAGAACACCTTCAACTTCTTTGGTTGATGATTCTGATATCTTTGGTAGGCAGAGCGAAACAGAGGATTTGATTGACCGTTTATTGTCTGAAGATGCAAGTGGAAAAAATCTGACTGTAGTTCCGATTGTTGGAATGGGCGGCGTGGGTAAGACAACACTTGCTAAAGCCGTTTACAATGATGAGAGGGTGAAGAACCATTTTGGTTTGAAAGCTTGGTTTTGTGTTTCTGAGGCATATGATGCTTTCAGAATAACAAAAGGGATACTTCAAGAAATTGGAAAATTTGACTCAAAGGATGTCCACAACAATCTTAATCAGCTTCAAGTCAAATTGAAGGAAATCTTGAAGGGAAAGAAGTTCCTTATTGTTTTGGATGATGTGTGGAATGACAACTACAATGAGTGGGATGACTTGAGAAATGCTTTTGTACAAGGAGATATAGGAAGTAAGATCATTGTGACGACACGTAAAGATAGTGTTGCCTTGATGATGGGTTGTGGGGCAATCTACGTGGGAATTCTGTCTAGTGAAGACTCTTGGGCTTTATTCAAACGACATTCACTAGAAAATAGGGATCCTGAGGAACATCCAGAATTTGAAGAGGTTGGAAAACAAATTGCAGACAAGTGCAAAGGGTTGCCTTTAGCTCTAAAGGCACTTGCTGGTGTTTTACGCTGCAAACCAGAGGTGGATGAGTGGAGAGACATTTTAAGGAGTGAAATATGGGAGCTGCCAAGTTGTTTGAATGGTATATTACCAGCACTGATGTTGAGCTACAATGATCTTCCTGCACATTTGAAGCAATGTTTTGCTTATTGTGCAATATATCCCAAAGATTATCAATTTTGCAAAGACCAAGTTATTCACCTGTGGATTGCTAATGGTCTTGTACAGCAGTTTCATTCAGGTAACCAATACTTTCTCGAGTTGAGATCAAGATCACTGTTCGAAATGGTCTCAGAGTCTTCTGAATGGAACTCAGAGAAATTCTTAATGCATGACCTTGTCAATGATTTGGCCCAAATTGCATCTTCAAATCTTTGTATAAGGTTGGAAGAGAACAAAGGATCGCATATGTTGGAACAATGTCGGCACATGTCCTATTCAATAGGAGAAGATGGTGAGTTTGAGAAATTGAAATCACTCTTTAAATCAGAGCAGCTGAGGACATTACTTTCAATCAATATCCAGTTCCATTACAAAAAAATCTAAGCAAGAGGGTGCAGCATAACATATTGCCAAGACTAACATCCTTAAGGGCATTATCGTTGTCTCATTACGATATTGTTGAGTTGCCAAATGACTTGTTTATCAAATTAAAGCTACTGCGATTTTTGGATATTTCTGAGACAAAGATTAATAAGTTGCCAGATTCCATTTGTGGATTGTATAACTTAAAGACACTTCTCCTGTCATCTTGTGCTGATCTTGAGGAGCTACCGCTGCAGATGGAGAAGTTGATTAACTTGCGTCATCTTGACATAAGCAACACTTCTCTCTTGAAGATGCCGCTACATCTGAGCAAGTTGAAAAGCCTCCAAGTGCTAATGGGAGCCAAGTTTCTTCTAGGTGGTTGGAGAATGGAAGATTTGGGTGAAGCACAGAATTTGTATGGATCTGTATCAGTTGTAGAGTTGCAAAATGTGGTTGATAGTAGGGAAGCTGTGAAGGCAAAGATGAGGGAGAAGAATCATGTTGACAAGTTATCTTTGGAGTGGAGTGAAAGTAGTAGTGCCGACAATTCACAAACAGAAAGAGACATACTTGATGAGCTACGCCCGCATAAAAACATAAAAGGAGTCGAAATCACTGGATATAGAGGGACAAAATTTCCAAATTGGCTAGCTGATCCTTTGTTTCTTAAGCTAGTACAGTTATCTATTGATAACTGCAAGAACTGTTATTCCTTGCCAGCACTAGGACAACTCCCCTGTTTGAAATTCCTTTCGATTAGAGGGATGCATGGATTAACAGAGGTGACGGAAGAATTCTATGGCAGTTGGTCCTCCAAAAAGCCTTTTAACTGTCTTGAGAAGCTTGAATTTGAAGATATGACGGAGTGGAAGCAATGGCACGTACTGGGAGTTGGAGAGTTCCCTATACTTGAGAACCTTTCAATTAAAAGGTGCCCTGAAGTCAGTTTGGAGACACCCATCCAACTTTCAAGTTTAAAAAAGGTTTGAAGTTATTGGTTGTCCAAAGGTTTTTGATGATGCTCAACTGTTTAGATCCCAACTTGAGGGAATGAAGCAGATTGAAGAATTATATATTAGTGATTGTAACTCTCTTACCTCCTTACCTTTTAGCATACTGCCCACTACCTTGAAGAGAATAGAGATATCTGGTTGCAAGAAATTGACATTAGAGGTGCCAGTTGGTGAGATGAGTATGTTTCTAGAGGAATTGAGAGTGGAAGGAAGTGATTGTACAGATGATATATCACCTGAGTTACTCCCAAGAGCACGCAGATTGAGTGTAAAGGATTGCCACAACCTTACTAGGGTTTTGATTCCTACTGCCACTGAAAGTCTCATTATTAGGAATTGTGAGAATATTGAAAAACTTTCGGTGGCATGTGGGGGGACCCTGATGACGTCACTGAGTATTAGGGACTGCAAGAAGCTGAAGTGGCTGCCAGAACGTATGCAGGAACTCCTTCCATCTCTTAAGAAATTGGCTCTGCTAAGTTGTCCAGAAATAGTCTTTTTCTGAAGGAGGATTGCCCTTCAATTTACAACTCCTTGGGATCTACGGTTGCAAGAAACTGGTGAACGGACGAAAGGCCTGGTGTTTACAGAGACTCCCCTGTCTCAAAAATTTAACAATCTATCATGATGGCAGTGACGAAGAGATTGAACATTGGGAGTTGCCTTCCTCTATTCAAACACTTCCTATATCCAATCTGAAAACATTAAGCAGCCAACATCTCAAAAGCCTCACCTCTCTTCAATATCTACGTATTCAGGGTAATTTACCTCAAATTGAGTCAATGCTGGAACAAGGCCAGTTTTCCTCCTTTTCGCACCTCACTTCGCTACTAATCGGCAAGTTCCCTAATCTCCAATCACTTTCCGAATCAGCACTTCCCTCCTCCCTCTCTCTGCTGGAGATCTCCTATTGCCCTAATCTCCAATCTCTTCCAGTAAAAGGGATACCATCTTCCCTCTCTAAACTTTCTATTTTAGAATGTCCATTGCTCACACCACTACTAGAATACTGGCCAAAAATTGCTCATATCTCCACCATAGAGATCGACCGGGAATGCATGTGATGATTATAACGAATGGCTCTCCAACTGATGTAAGCTTTTCTTTTCCCTCAGAAGCTTTTTGTTTCTGTTTTCTTCACTTTGCTTTTTTGTTTATTCTTTTCCTTTTTAATTATGTTGTGCTCATCGTCAAACACATAGCTTTATATTTAAGCTCCATAGAGAATCTAAATTTTTGAAAAGATAATCAGGGATAACGATAACAAGTTTTAGGAAATCTGCTGTTATAGGCAAGTCTTTGAGATGGGGCTATCAAAGAAGGGCGATTAAAATCATTGTACCGCTGATACTATTTCATGTTTCCAGTGCAAGCCTCTTTTGTAAGTTGACAAACTCGATTTGTAAATATGTTTGGGACTCAACTAGTGGTTACCCATGCCTTCTTTCAGGTTTTACCCATGCCTAAGGCGAACGCCTTACATTGTCTTTACTCTTTACGCATCGTCTGGTGTCGCCCTGCAAAACTTTGTGCACTTAAGTTCTTCGATTCTATTCTAACCTTATCATAGAATGTATCCCTTGCACTAATTAGGAGGTTATACAAAGAGTAAGATTAATGACTTGGTTTTGTCGAAGAATGACTATGATGATTGAACGTCTGTAATTTGTTTGTTTGTCTACAGGTGGAGATATACAGCTGTTGTTATGAGAAACAACCTTTGGTTATCCAAGGCGCTGGAGCAGGAAATGATATCACAGCAGCTGGTGTTGATATCCTTGACATTCAAGATGTATTCGCTTGACATAATATTATACATTGAGATACAAACATCCGATCCTCAAAGGACGAAAGATAGGTTCTTCTTGTCCATCTGCTTCCAGATTGAGATTAAAATCAGGCTCAGCTAGCACATTCATTTTTTGAGAATTTTCTCGATACACACGAGAGTGCCTTGTCAGTTTATGGTAAATTATTACGCGTCACTAGTGAAATTGAGTCATATATTTGCCTCATTTCTTGACTAGTTTTAGGATTTCACTTCAGCTTATAATCGGTTTATGTTGTAATGATCATTTTGGTACCTGAACTTTTTATGTTATCACAATTTTAGAGACTTGTCTCTTAGTTATCATGCTTTTCAATGTATGAAATGATGTCCTAAATTAGAATAAAGATATCAAGCAGGAAAAAGAACAATATATCTAAAAGAAATAGTCTTCTTTCACTAAATCTTATTTCATCCCCAACTTGTTTGTGACTGAGGTGTAGTTGATGTTATATCTAAAACTCGGCGAGTACTGTATGATCAAAGTAGCAACCAGTAGGTCCTCCATCAGGCAAAAGAGCTAGCATGACAGGTCCTTCAGCTCCTTCCTCAACAGGCATTGTTCCTCTATGCCAGGTTATATCCGTTGTTGAGGAATCCAGGATGGACACAATTGATGCATATTTTCAGATACTTTCTTGCAAGAATTTGAGTGTAAGCATTGAGTGATACTTTTGATACGCTATATGCTGGTAGCATCATCTGCCAACCGTTCACCTCGAGAGAGTCTTGTTTCAGATCATATAAACAAACACTCAAAAACTTGGCATCAATTGATAAGCAAGCACTGACGTGTCACATAAATTTTGGAGGTGTCTAGATGTGCATACTCAAAATTGGAGTGTTTACTTGCCGGTTGAGGCCAAGTTTGAGTTGTCTGTCAGAGCAAGATCAGACCACACACAGGGACTATCGCCTACCTCAAAGCTTAGATATGAGATCGAATCGCATAACAAAACAAGACCTAAGCATTGATCAAATTATCTTACCCAGTCTACAAGATCCATGTTCATGGCCCTTAGGACATCTTCATCAGGTACAACTCCAGAAGCTCCAGCATTATTTACCTTCAGAAATTTATTCAGCAACTGTCCAATATTTGCCTCGACATCGAATAAGGAGCAATACATAGATTCATGCTCTTACCAGAATATCAAGCCTCCCATATTGTGTTTGTATGAACTTTGTTAAGGACTCAATGCTCTGAGCATCTTGAACATCAAGCTGATGAAACACAACATTTGAAAATCCTTGTTCATTCAGCAAGTCCATTGCTTCAGTTCCTCTCTTTTCGTCTCTGGCTGTTAAGAAAACCGTTACACCTGAATTGGCGAGCTGCTTAACAGTCTCGAAGCCAATTCCCTTGTTTGCTCCTGTAACCACTGCATACTTACAAGCATCTCCCATCACTTAAGTGCAATGTTTCTAACCTTTTCTCCTTTAGAATCCTGTTCGGAGAAGAAAAAAAACACTATTTCAAACGAACTAACGCGATAGGAATGAAATGACGAATTCTTTTCATCTACCTAAGCCTTAATTGAGGTGTTCGCTACTGCTAACCTGGACACTACTGTTATTAAACCCAAACAACCTCTTTCTCACCATACTACGGCTCAGGGGCAGAGCTAGTGGGACATAAAGGGGTTCATCCAAACCACCCCCTCCCCGAAAAATTGCACCATGTATACATAACCATAATTACTACTTTTATGTGTGCATAGTAATTTTGAATCCCCTTGACACAATCTAAAGCTCTTCGTGTTTTTACAATAATAACAACATATGCAGTGTAGGCTAGGAAGGGTAGAGTATATGCATACCTTCCCCTACCTCACAAGTAGAAAGGTTATTTTTGATAAGACACTTAGCTCAAAGGAAAACAATCCAAAGTAGTTCCGAAAAAAGAGAAGTAACAAAAGTACTGGGAAGGGTAGAGTGTCTGCATACCTTCCCCCACCTCGCAGGTAGAAAGGTTATTTTTGATAGACACTTAGCTCAAAGGATAACAATCCAAAGTAGTTCCGAAAAAAGAGAAGTAACAAAAGTACAAGAAACGACAGATAATAACAAAAACAACATATAGTAACAAAACATAAACTATAACAAAATAATATAATATTCGAGCTAGGTACAAGAAACAATAGACAGTAACATCAATCAAATAAAGCATGCTTTCATATTTGGGTCAAAAGGCGATGCCTCAACTAATTCCAACAGATATATGCAACCCCCCACTAACATAGATATCAACTAACTCTGTCTACCGAGGCTTGAACAGATGGAAAGAATGTTCACTTGAATCTAAACATTGTTAAGCAACAACATTAAAGTAAACAATCAAGACCAAAAATCAAAACCCCATTTCAAAGATAAAATAAATTGACTTACCTGTAAATGGAGAGTATAGGGCTAATACTAGTGCTACAAGTAATTTATTTTCTACAATCTTACTATTTAATAAGTAAAACTTTGGTAAAAAAAATATGTTTTCATGGGTAATATTGTCTAACACTTTAAACTACCTTTTTTTATGGTAGGCAAACCCATGTTATCCTCTAACTGGTAACTCCTTTATATAGTATCATTATTCATTTCAGTTTGCCATAAGAGTAACATTTACACTCAATGTGATGTTTGAATGCATTTCTTGGCTATGTTGTCATTTTTCACTTATTAAATGTTATGAATTACTGGCATTTGCTATTAATGATGGTAATTTCTCCTTCCGTTCACTTTTACTTTATCACATTTGAATTTGATACGCCCATTAACACCTTGTTTGAATGGTTGGTACTTTTTGTATTGTATGGGCCGGTAGTTTAGATACAATGTTTGTTTTGATTATTACTTAAATTTCATTGTATCATATCGTTTAAATCCATCATTATGTAACGACGAAAAATCTCATTTGTGTAATGACTAATGAACGATATGGTGTAATAGCATTGTTATCCTAATATTTTCTTCTTATTACTGTCTTTTAATAGTAGTTTTATCTAATATCTTACGTAGATTTATCATTCAAATTGTTGATATGTGACGGTGTGTGATGATGGAGAACAATACAATCTATCCAAACGTTATACTCATTAAAACATTACAGTATGATACAATACAACACATTACTAGATTATATTATCCTTTGCTTCCCTCATTGTTTCAATTACTAAATCAACCAATAGAACACCAACCAAGCTCAGAAATTCAACCTAATGCCAAGAGACACTGAAAGAAATAGTCTTATTTCACTACTTGATCTAAAACATCGCAACTGACCCCAACTTGTTTGGGACTGAGGCGTAGTTATTGTTATATCTAAAACGTCGTGACTGACCCCAACTTGTTTGGGACTGAGGCATAGTTATTGTTATATCTAAAACTCGTCAACTACTGTACGATCAAAGTAGCAACCAGTAGGTCCTTCATCAGGCAAAAGAGCTAGCATGACAGATCCTTCAGCTCCTTCTTCGACAGGCATTGTTCCTGTATGCCAGTTTATATCCGTGTTGACGTATCCAGGATGGACACAATTGATACACATTTTCGGGTACTTTCTGGCAAGAATTCGAGTGTAAGCATTGAGTGAGACTTTTGATATGCTATATGCTGGTAGCATCATCTGCCAACCGTTCACCTCGAGAGCATCTTGTTTCAGATCATGCAAAAAATTCTGCAGAATCTTGTCGATTTTATCTTCTGTGAGGTTTTCAACATCTCCTAGCTCCTTTCTCCTCTCCTCGTTTGGTACTCGCTGCATTAGAACGATACAAAATCAATAAGAAATCCTTCTAATATGTCAGAGTTACCCAGTACTTGTACGTTAGTAGGAGATAGCAGGTATCTCGTGGAATTAGTCCAGGTGCAAACAAGTTGGTCCGGACATCATGGTTATCAATAAAGTATTTGTAGGATTTAATTTTCGGACTGAAAATGACTCGAGAATTATAAAGTTCTTGTCCTTTGGAAGTTTACAATCCCTTGAAATATAACAAGCTACCATTAAGAGAAACTCTAGCTTATTTTCTTTCTTCTTTTTCATATAACGACGGTGTCCAAACAACCTTCTACCTTAAATCATCACATTTACTAGGTAACTCTGCTCCCCAATACTTGAGCAAATGGAAAGACTTCACCTGTAATCCCTATATTTTGAAAAAGCTAGCCTGACTATATCGTCTAACGGAAGATAGAAGGTCCTTAAGAGAGTGGTTAGCAAAGATCAGTATAGAGGAAATGGAGATTTGTTTAATTTAGTTTAAGCTATTACAACAAGAAGTGGTGTAGCCACATACAATGAAAGGTGATCAGTTGAACGTCTTTCATAGAAAATTAATACCAAATATATGGTAAAAATTACTTTTATACATGTATATTAAATCTTGACCACTCTTAATAAAATTCTGGACTTCACCACTAGTCAACAAGGATAAACTCGACACATCAAACAAAATGAAGGCTTGATTCTCTAATAATCTATCAACCAAAATTACAACTAGCCCGAAAGCTAAGACTTAAAAGCACAAAAGAACAAGAATATGTATGGAAAATGATAGGCAAAAGCTCTCTAAACTTATACTAAGCGAATTCGGTCTGGATACTAGGGTACTTTGTTCAACATATTATCACTAAATGAGCAGCAAGGGCAAAAATTAAAGACAATGGACAAAAAGTAGAAACCACCCCGAAATAGGGGCAATCCGTGCAAAAACCATAGTAATTAGTGTCCAAGCATAATTTGGCACTCCCATAAGTTGTTTTCATCGCAACTTGAATGACATTGATAGCTTTCCCTGCTAACTGTTTGCAACAATAAGCATATAGGTAAATCCCATTTACATCAATATAATAATTCTGATTAGCATAAAGCCTGCAGTAGCAACGTAACCAGAGAAAGTATACAAAAAAAGACAGTTCTTTTTAAATTATATTAGTACATATTACTATATCAGTTGGTGATCCCGACTTAGTGGTCCTTTCATCCGTGATGAACTTTTGGCACCAGTACAGATATCTTCAATGTATTAAATAAAAAATTCCAATGGCTTTGGCTACTCTAACCTTCCCGATCACGAATCTTTTCTTTTTCTCTCTTTAAGGAAATCACTGCGAAATAAGAAATTGTATCTTCCTAGGTATCAAAAAGAGAGGCTAGGGTGGCGTAGCGACTAGGGATGGAATTACCCTCATGCAATGACGGATCCAGTACTCTTGTCTGAGGGGTGTCACCTCTGCTCGAAAATTACACTGTATAGATAGATAGATATACTATATGTTGAATCCCTTGAGTTTTCCATATATTCATTTCTTTATACTTTGACTCCCCTTAGTGAAAATCATAGCTCTTGTCACTGCCCTCGGGTAGGTTTGTTGTATCTCATCCTTAAGAGTTACGACATAAAACAGTCCCTCGCTCTAAGACTAGTTCAGAGCAAGACCAGAGACCACACGAGGCAATTATCGCTTCCCTCAAAGATTGTGGACCAAAACTTTCAATAGCTAGCCAAGGGTATATCGAAAACAACTTTTCTACGCCCACAATGGTAGGAAAAAAGTCTGCATACATCTTACCCTCTCCAGACCTCATTTACAGAATTACAGTGCGTATGTTGTTGTTATTGTATAGAATTACCATGTGAAATCGATAATAAAACAAGATGTAACAAAGCATTCAGCAAATTATCTTACCCAGTCTTCAGGATCTACATTCAAGGCCCTTAGAACATCTTCATCAACTACAACTCCAGAAGCTCCAGCATTATTTACCTGCATAAACTTATCAGCAACTTCCCTATATTTGCTTCAAGATCACACGAGAAATTGATCCGTTCATGCTCTTACCAGAATATCAAGCCTCCCATATTGTGTTTGTATGAACTTCGCTAAGGACTCAATGCTCCGAGCATCTTGAACATCAAGCTGATGAAACACAACATTTGAAAGTCCTTGTTCATTCAGCAAGGATGTTGCTTCCATTCCCCTCTTTTCATTTCTGGCTGTTAAGACAACCGTTACACCTGTTTTTGCAAGCTGCTTGACAGTCTCGAAGCCAATTCCCTTGTTTGCTCCTGTAACAACTGCATACCTACAAACATCTCCCATCACTTAAATCCAAAGTTTCTAACTTTTTCCTGCAGAGAGAAGAAAAAAGAACACTATTTCAAATGAACTAACGCGATAGGAAGAAAGAGGTAGGTATAGACTATTAGTCCAAGAGTTGAAATAACAACCTTGTGAACATCAATCGAAAAATCAACACAGACAAAACGAAGAATTATTTTCATCTACCTAAGCCTTAAATAACCGGATTACCGGTATAAAGTTGATTAGTTGAGGTCTCTTCAACTACTAACCTGGACACTACTGTTATTAAACCCAACTCTCACCATACTACAAGTCAGGGGCATAGCTAGAGGGGCGCAAAGGGATTCATCCAAACCACCCCCTCCCCGAAAAATTGCATTGTGTATTATACTATACAAGGCCAAATTTTAGATTTTGTTTTCATGTATACATAGTACATAGTATTGTTGAATCCCCTGCTCTTCATGTTTTAAAAACAACATAGCCACTGTAGTTCCACAAAGTGCGGGATATAAGGAAGGTAGAATATATGTAGACCTTAACCCGGCCTCATAGATAGAGAGGCTATTTCTGACAGATCCTCGACTTAAAGAAAAACAGTCCAAAGCAGTTTCGAGGAAAAAGTAATGAAAGTACAAGAAACATTGTGTATACTATTACAAGGCCACCCTCTCCCTGAAAAATTGCATTGTGTATAGTATACTATACAAGGCCAAATTTTTAATTTTGTTTTCATGTAGAGAGTAGTATTGTTGAATCCCCTGCTCTTCGTATTTTTACAACAACATACACCGTGTAGTTCCACAAAGTGCGGTACAGGAAAGGTAGAGTGTACACGGACCTTAACCCGACCTCATAGATAGAGAGGCTATTTCTAACAAATCTCGACTCAAGAAAAAACAGTCCAAAGCAGTTTTGAGAAAAAAGTAATAAAAGTACAAGAAACAACACACAGTAACATAATAGAAACTACAACAAAACAATAAGATATATAAAGAAACAACAGATAGTAACAGTAATCGAAGGACAAGAAACTACAGGAGCAATACTATTATCTTAGTATAATCAAAGGTGAGACCTCAACTAATTCTAAAAGGTATGTGCTACCTCCCACTGACAAAAGGTACAACTAACTCTGTCTATCGAGGCTAGAACAGACGGAAAGAATCACCTGAATCTAAACAATCAAGAGTCAAGACCAAAAAATCAAAATCAGTTCATTTTTCTCAAGATCTAGACAGATAAAAATATTTGACTTACCTGCAAATGGGAGTATAGGGCTAGTGATAGTGCTAGTGCTATACAAGTACTTAATAAATAATAAATAAAATAAGTACAAATATCCAAAGTAGTGGACCTTTCACATTTGTCTTTTTCATGATTTATTATTCCCTAGTGAATAAGTCCGCGCAAAGCGCGGTCATAAAACGATTAATTGAATTTATAATTAAATCTAATTCATTTAATCTAAAATGAAAGTAAATGTATTAACAATCATAAGCGTGAACATAAGATTTAAAAGATCATATTAATAACAATATTTTATAGATGAAACCGTGAAAACACCTTACGATTTTTATTGCTCCTATGACAACCCTAGATACGATCAAATTGATTAGAAATTATAGTAACATATATTTTAGAAGAATGCATTCATTATGATCGAGCTACTTTAAAATACTTTCACTTTCTTTTTCTTTTTATGGGAAGCACCAACCGTAAATAGTTCTTTTGGTAAATCCTTCCTAATATAGTCATAGCCTCAAATTTACCTTTGACGTCCAAAAAAAAACTATTTTCAATGATAAATTCATTTTAATTACATTATTAAATTATACCCCATTGAAGAATAGTAATAAGAGATTAAAAATTTAGTATAACTCAAATTATATATTTTTCGCACATATCAAAATATTATTACTTAGTTGATTTGTAGAAAGTAAAAAATAAATAAAAATGGTACTAAATGCGTCTATGAAATCTTTGGACTATTTAACAAATATATTAAATTATTAGCAAATAATAATAGTAATAATAATATAACACTAAATAAAAATACTTCATCTCTTTCCATTTAAAATTATACATTTTTCAAACATATGATGGAATTCTCAATTGCTCAAAGCCTTTCATTTGCAACAATTTGAGAACCTTATAAACTTAAATACATAAAAAATAAACAAAAATTTTATCAAAAATAAAAAGGGGAAAAAATCATAACTACAAAATTGTGAAAGGGGATGTCCAAAAAAAATATAAAATGGACGGTAAAATATAAAGTTTCGATTATTACTACAAAATAAAGAAAGCAAATATTTTAAAAATCTTTAAGTTTGACTATAGGAACTTGATGAAATAAACCTCTTAGCATCTCAAAAAATGTAGATGACTCCATTAGCTTTTCAAAAGCAAAGTTGACCACTTTTTTACAAACCAAATAATATGAAAGTATGAGAAAAGAGTGAATATTTAGAATCATATCATACCATGATTATAAAATATTCTTAATGTTTAATTTTGTATTTTTGAGAAAATTCGCATTATCATTGCTTTCCCCCAAAAGAGAATAATGAGTAATAAAAATCCAAAAGGAATGATATGTAGATAAACTTGATCAACATATAAATAAAAAGATAGTAGAGATAAATGGAGATTTTCAAGCACTCATAAAAAAAAAATGAAATCGATAAAAAAAATTGTTAAAAATATAGAGGGTGAAGTAACTATTATAACATATACGGTTACTAGTTATATTAAGAAAGTGACTATTGAAATTTTGAGAATTTCATATAAACTTTAAATCAGAAACACATAAAATATATATATTTGCTTACCATGAGAATTATTTGTGAGACTGACAAAAGTATTGAAGGATAAATCTGCAACCGAGAAAATAATATTAGAAGAAATTATAGCATTAATATTCACTCAAGTCTTTTTGAAAAAAGTAATGAAAAATGGATGATTATGAAAAATGTATATCCAAAATTTCATATAAACTTTAAATCAGAAACACATAATATATATATTTTTGCTTACCATGAGAATTATTTGTTAGTTTTAATTAATTTAAAATGGAAGTTTCATCTATTATTCAATACTCATTTATGTACTTATTTTTTAAGGAAAATTCAAAAATAATTCAAAACAAAAAGGAAAAAATAGACAATTACAAATGCTGGCCACTGGAGGGTGCCACATCAGCGATTCTAGATTCAGCTTTATATATTTATTCAAGGAAAACAAATGTGAAATGAGATTCGTGTTCCATAAGACACATTTAATAATATTTTATTTATCTGAAATCACGGAAGTGTCATATAAAATAGAGTAAATTTTAGGTTTAGCAAACATAAAAATCATATTTGTATGCTATAGTTATAGTTTGTATAATTGTGTTCCATAACAGACATAAAGCAAACTTTGTGTTTGTTATGATTATTAATCTGTATATTTCGGTATACATATACATAAAAAATATGTATTTGGGTCCATTTGTATATTTCGATATACAAATGGGTCCTGCATTTGTATATTTCGGTATACAAATGGGTCTTGCATTTATATATTTTGATATGTTTATATATTTTGGTATACAAATGGGTCTTGCATTTGTATATTTCGGTATACAAATGGGTCTTGCATTTGTATATTTCGGTATACAAATGGGTCTTGCATTTGTATATTTCGGTATACAAATGGGTCCTACATTTGTATATTTCGGTATACAAATGAGTCCTGCATTTGTATATTTCGATCTATTTATATATACAAATGGGATGGCAAAAAACAAGGAATGTTTGTTGCGAATTACAAATAAAAGAAACTATGTCTATAACATTTAATTTGAATTAATAGTTTGTTATTTCATAAAATATTTTCTATAAAATATCGTTATAGAAAGATTTGATTGTATCTTAGAGTAAATTTTAGGTTTGACAAACATAAAAATCATATTTGTATGCTATAACTATAGTTTGCATGATTGCGCTCCATAGCAAATTTTATGTTTGCTACGGAGTCAGATCTGTATAAAAATCGCAGGCAACTTTGATTTGTATAAAATCGCAGGCATCTGATTTGTATAAATCGGGCATGAAAATTGTGTTTGTAGATGTATATGTTCTTTATGTTTGTATATGTGCATAAAATTTGAATTTGTATACAATTGAATCAAGATAAAATATTTGTATATCAAATATCTCTCTCTCGTTTTATACAACACAAATTATACATTGTAAGTTTACTTCTTTGAAAAGTCATTTCAAAATATCTCATAAATTCTTGGGTATTTATAAAGATCAAGATCTCAAATATCCTGTAGATTATATATCAAAGTCTTCTTGATAATCAAAATTGAACCACAAATATAAACAGATGTGTACCAACACAATATAATGTTTATCAATAAAATTATGTTTCTTTATATTTTATTCGAAAGAAAACTAAATTAAATTTACATAAGAGGTACTAAAAATGTGCGCTATACAATTTGTGCACATGTCATTGCAATTTTTCTTTAAATGTGTGTTTGTTCATTCCCTTTCTTTAACAACTAAATATATTGCTCTTAATGTCATTTTTATTTATAAAATAATAAATTTAGATTTATTTAAGAAAATGAAGTGTAAAGTTTTTCATAGTATAACACATTTGATTAAGAAAACAGTATGAGTTAACTTTTTTAAATTTTATTATAAAATAAGTAAGTTCACTTCTGTTTACTTCTTCGTAACAAACTATACTAAACTTAATTATGCTTCGTAACTATAGTTTGCGTATTTACGGGATATAGCTACAATTTAAGCTATCTCGTTTGTATAATTCCCAGGTTTGTATAATTGCGGGTACATTTGTATAATTAAGTTATTTTTGTATAAATTCGAAATAAAGAATTTATACAATTACAAAATTTAAGTAGTGTAAACAGTTATACAAATTATATTATACAAATTCCGAATTATACAAAAGTTATACAAATTATATTATACAAATTCTGAATTATACAAAAGTTATACAAATTCCGAATTATACAAAAGTTATACA